CTAACCCACTTACATACTGAGCTTAAAGCTGAAGTGTGACATTGCTTATTCTCATTTTCTTTTAAACACCCTGTGTCTGTAAAAAACAAAAACAAAAACAAAAAACAAAAAAATAACACTCCTGAAACTCTACTTTCTGTGATAATTGTGACATTTTGAAGAAAGGAGTTTGAATCTCTACCCCAAACTCCATCAATGGGCATATGATAAAGAGTTTCCTATAGATGGTACCAGGGGCAACTGTCAGAGGGAAATGACATCTTTACTAACTCTTCAACCAAGTAAGCAGCAACACTCACTTGCCTTGGTGTCCTTTTAAAATGTCTGTCCAGGGCAGGATGGCTCGGTAGTTAAGAGCACTTGTTGCTCTTGCAGAGGTCCTGGGTTCAATTCTCAGCACCCACACAGTGGTTCACAACCACCCATAATTCCATTTCCAGGGGAATCTAAAGCCCTCTTCCGACTTCTATGACACTAGGTACACATGCAGGCAAAACATTCATACACATAAAATAAATTAACTAATTTAATTAAATTAAACATCTGTTCAACTATCATTGGAAAATTCACATTTATGGTATGTCCTCCCATACACCCCCTGCTCCTATAATTCCTGAAAGTGGCCCTTTGGAGGTTTCTTAAGCAGTGACAACTTTCTAGCTCCTGTAGCAATTTCTTCACAGCTTCTACGATAGAGGTCTTTGATAAGCCTGTAAGCTGGAAACGGAATAGTTAAGATTGTGATTCTCCTATCTCCTTTTTTTCATTACTTAAAGTAAATCTTGATTTGTCTAGGAGACCTTGAGAATTAATTTAGACTTTTTAAATATCATTTAATCTTATTTGTTGAAAGCTATTTCTTAGAAGAATCAGGGGGAAAACAACAATTTCCAAAAGTGTTTAATCCTTTTTTTTTAAATAACCACTAATTATATCCCTCTTCTCTGACCCCAAGAAAAGTGTAGCCTTTTTAATAGGTAATGCCATTTTCACTGAATTCAGCATATCCTAAAGGAAAACCTTACAATTTAGGATTAGTTAGGTAAAAATTATAGAAACTTCGCAAAATCTAGAGAATGTGCATGGCAGGTGTTGCTATACATATTTGAAATCCTATTGGTTCTTATTGCAGGTGACATGTTGCAATATACTTAGCAACCAAAATCAACACACATTTTGTATGTCCCATTTCCATGGTCATGGTTCTGAGGATATTTATTTAGTCTAGCAAGGTGCTGGGGTCTCTCCCAGGGCTGAAGTCACAGTCTTGTTCCATCTGTAACCCACTCTGGATCTTGGGGTCCCCCTTCAAGTCCTCACAGTCATTAGCAGAATTCAGCCTTTTGGCTTTAGGACAAATGACTTGGTTTTCTTAAAGTTTCATTACTCTAGACAGTACATCAATTTTGAAGACCAGGTTCATTAACAGAAATCCCTACCAGTTATTCTTTATACAGTAATTATATAACCTGGTGCATAGATTATGGGTAAAGGAAGGTTTAACAAGGAGTTTATTTTAAAGTAATGTACAGAAACCAAACTATTTCAAAAGCAGAAGCCAAGATGGATGTTCTGTAGCTTTTAACATCGAGGATTTTTAAATTTCATCTGGTCAATTAAGTATACAAAACAAATTAACCAAAACATACATTATGTATGTAGAAAAATATTAAAGTATATGATAAGGAAATGTGCTCAATATAAGTCTTTAAAAATTGAAAACACAAAGTAATTTTGAGCTTTATGACAGCCTTAGGGTTCACATTACTTGACTGTGATAAATTTAGAAGATTAGACATAGTCTGGCTTGTTGTTCTTGCATGCTGACTGAGCTTCTTCTCACTTTAACTCCTTCAAGGAGAGTTTAAAAGGTGTGTGTGTGTGTGTGTGTGTGTGTGTGTGTGTGTGTGTGTGTGTGTGTGTGTTCACACTATAATGTGCACGTGGAGGTCAGAATACAATCTGGATGTGGGCTTCCCCTCCTACCTTGGTTTTCAGCAGGGTCTCTCACTGTTTGTGCTGCTGTACTGTGTACTCCAGGCTAGCAGGCCTGCAGGCTTCTAGGGATTCTCCTCCCTGGGCCTTCCATCCTGTCATAGGAGAGTGGGAACTAAGTAAGCGTGGCTTCATCCAGCTTTGTGTAGGTTCTGGGAATTTTGACTCGGGGCTTCATGCTTGAGTGGCAATGCTTAACCACTGAGCTTTTCCCAAGCCCATATTTTGCTATTTAAAAAAAAAAAAAAAAAAAAAAAAACCTCACTTAGCAACTTGATCATTCTTTACTTGTTTCTGCCTAAGTTGTACTTAAAGTTTCACTTTTACACATCAAGCATGGAGAGAAAAGATGAACACTTTGAAGAAATCACAGCTTTCTTGAGTCAGTCATTTGCTCCCTTCAATAAAGCTGGTTCAATACCATGACTACAACCATGATTCCATTGTTCAAAAACTAAAATAAAATCTGCAGTCTTCAGAGTTTTGACATTTGTCACTGCTATTCTATTTCCTAACATGTAATTCATGCATTTGACTGAATTTAAAGTAGTAGAATCAGTGGCAGCTCAAAACCTCATTTGTACAACAGAGGTTTGAATGACTTGGGAGATTTGTCTACACTTAAATGTCTCGTCATTTACTTTTTTATTTGAAGGCTTTTCCCCCACCTTAGTTGATTCATAATACCTTGCTTATGTCACTGGCAGTGAGTGTTCGTCTATGACCACAGTGTACTCCTACCTGTTAGCACACTGGTGTGGTGTGGTCTGTAGACTTTTCAACAAACAACTATAATTAATACCACTGGGACTAGTGACTTTGTTTTTAATTCATATTGAGTAGGAATTGACCTAGAAATGATTTTATTCAGGAGTATGAATAACATGAAATTACACAACCATCCATTTTGTACTTGTGTCTGACCAGAAATGTACTAACTAGTTTCTCTTGGGATGGAAACCTTAAAGTTTGTTATTCTAAGGCATCTCTCTGTGAAATCATGGGTAGTGACATCTGTACAGGGAATTTAAAGATCATGCATTCGAACACACACACACACACACACACACACACACAAGTACACACAGAACTTTGGGACCCTTTGATATGTTTTGGAACCTTTGATCAACATCTTTATCTTACAGAAGGCCAAAACAGACACACTTTACATCCACATGTATTTGGATATCATGTTATAGAATCAATTTAATCTCTGCTAAAAAAATTTAATAGACTTGTTTAGGTATGGCCAGACAAGCAGACATTTGAGTCATGTCTGTATCTGTAAAAATGCTTGCCATAGTTCATGGTACTAGCAATTACTCAGTGTTGGCTACATATTAATATCAATAAACCTATTACTTATTTTTCTAGTTTGCCCAAATAATTTTCAGACAATTGACAAAAAAAAATCATAGGTAGACATGTATAAATGAACTTTTCTTCTTCTGATGCAGTGCAGAGCAATTTTATGCTGGAAACTTGAGACCGCGGATTTGTCCTATGATATGGAGACTTGAAGTCATTTGCTTTATTTTTATATCCAAATTTCTGTTGTCTTCACTGGCCCCATCCAAAATGGATAGAATCCTCCAGTTGTGTCTGTCAGCATGCTTGTGGAGAACACCACAAATCCAGCAATTACAAGGAACTGTTTTCTCATTATTTCCACACTATTTTTCTTTCCAAAGCATCTCCTAAGTTTGAAGTGTTGTCTCCTAAACTCTGGAGCAAAAATATTATTTTTAAAAACAAGCTTTTGTTGTATTTTCTTAGCATAAAGGTAATATACATTCATCATAGAAAAGGCAAGTAAGCAAAATGAAGGCAAGGAAAACCATAGAAATTTAGCTTGCCAAGGGAGCCATGGTTATAGTTCACACATATCTTTTAGTTCTTTCTCTGCATAGAAATAAAACATTTAAATTGTGTTGTACATCCTGGGCTTGATGTATTAGAACACCCCATGTTATAATTGTTTTTTTCAGTCAACATTATATTATAAATATCTCCAATGTCATTATTCTTTTACAGTATTCTTTGCATTGGCTGGACCATATTTACTGAACCAGTCCCAATTTCTTGTCTCTTAAGGTTTTGTTGTTGTTTTTTTTTTAACTTCTATCTTTTCTTTTTCTGTTCTATAAATAATCACTGAAAGAACATCTGAGCTGCTATTATCAAGGGCATTTTTATGTTAAAAAAAAGCTAAATTATTTAAAGTGTAGAAAAATGCTTTGGTGCTGAAATAAGGTAACTGACAAGACAAAATGATTGCATGTGAGGCTGTCTTTGTGTGCTTAGGCAGCCTCCTTTGTAAGGGTCCCAGAGGTCACAGACATGTGACAGATTCACTGGAAAAGTTGAAGCCTATGTAAGTCAGATTTCTATTACTATACTGAGTACCTGGGGTGGGGTAGAAACAGCTTTTGAAGAGAATAATACTGGTTCATGGTTTTAGGGATCTGGTTCAAGTCCAGGTGGACCTCCCAGACTCAATAGTACTTGGTGGCAAGGCAGGAGACTATAGCGAGTAAAACTGCTTACCTCCCAGCCAGGAAGCAAGAGCAAGCAAGAGGAAGGGGTCAGCTCCCAGGATCCCCTTCAGTACAGTGTCCCCAATGACCTAAAGACTCTCCCCCTTGACCTGTCTCTTTAGGCTCTCCTCCCCACAATAAAACCACTTGGAATATGAAGATCGTAAAATGCGGGTCTTTCACAGGGGATACTGAAGATACAGAAATCCCCATGTGGAGAAAACCAACAACCCCCAAATGGGCTGTGACTTCACACAACAAATTGAAATAAACTGTAGAAGCACCTAAAGGGAGTCATTCTGTTACCTGTTTGTTCCTGTGGCAAATTCAAAGCAATTCAGTATAAATCTCCATTTCCCTATGACTCCATTTTATTTCTTTTTCCACTCTCTCAGTGTTGTCTTTTGGGTCACACAAATTGTTGCTCTGTAGATTAAAGTTGCCTCAACAATCAACCCTTCTCACCAGGCATGCCATCTCCAACCACACTGAAGAAGTCTGAGAAGTCCGGTTTCAGCAGCCCCTCCCCTTCGCAGACCTCCTCCCTGGGAACAGCATTCACACAGCATCACCGACCTGTCATTACAGGACCCAGAGGTGAGTTGCTCCACAGAGACCCACAAGGTGTAAACCTCATAATCTTGAGCTCACAGAAGCAAAGTGGGGAGACAGTGAGGAGTCCGCTACAGTAAGTGATCCAATTCTTATGTTTGAGGGCAGTCTTCGAATTTTAGGGACCAAAGAGATTCAGCATCCAATCTTAAGTTTAAAAGACACAAAGCCAAATTTTTTTGGAAGGGGCCATGAGCTTTTGCAAAGAGGTGGGGAATCAGTTGAGCCAAAATCAAGTGTGCCCTCAAGCTGTGTGTGTTTGTGCATCTATGTGTGTGTGTGTTTGGGCAAGTGCTTTTCCCATGTGGTCAGTTACCTATTTCTCACCTAAATGTTTTTTTCAGTCTCCTGTCCTTACTGATTCTGTTTCCGTGAAGCCCAATTTCCATATGTGGCATTTTGTGTTGAGGTTATTGGCATTGGGGTGTTGACGAGTCATCTTCCTTCACTCGTTTTGAAGTGGTAGATAGTTTGTCTGGTTTTCATTGTGATGTTTTCCTTATTTTAGTTGCATGTGCTTTTAAGTTTATTATTAAAATGTGTCCACGAGAAATATGATTTGTATTTCACATTAAAGACAAGCCTTAAACCTCAAGAGAATGTCAGCAACTCGATTAACTTGATCCTATTGCAAGATGAAAATATTTATTAGTTTATTTATAAAACTCCCACAGTAGGAGTATGAATAACTGTGACCATTTGCACCCTTCCATCAGATGTCCCTTTACATCTGTAATCTACCAGCTGGCAACATAAGACACCCTGGGGATTTACAGTCTTTGACATATACCTGGGAAAACTGATATTTGCTGCATTAACTCAATGTTTGGGCCACAAGTCTGAATCCATTTATGAATACTTTGATAGTCCCAAGGAAATGTGGTACTAGAGATAGATGCACAGATCACATGTGAAATGTAAGTGCTCTGTCTGAGAAGCAATTGCTTTATTTGTTAGGAAACTCAATTGCTTCATCCTTAGAGATACTGTGTTTATTAATACAACTTTCTCATCAGGATCCCTGGCTCTTCCTCCTGTGTACCAATAGCATAATCATAGAGGCTTATGATATATACATACATATGTGTGCACAGACATATATATGGTTTATGTATGTTGCACATTATGTATTGAAACTTGAGAATTCACATGTGAGTAAGCCATTAAATTAGTTAGTATTATATCCTCTTATCATTAACATTTGTTGAGCATCTAAACTCTTGCAGGAAATGAGAGGTATAAAGTCATTTTAAGTCAGAATATTTATGGTCCAAGGGAGATAGACATGTTATTTCTTATTTTTATGGTAAGTTTAACATATTCAAATGCTAAATGAATGTTAAGAGCAAATTTTGCAGCAGGACTCAGAGGAGGGGATTCTGGAAGTTCATTCATTTGTTCATTAAAGATTTACTGAGTTCTTGTCACTGTATAAACACTGGGGCCAGTGTTTCCTGTCTTCATAGGACAGAGCTGAAGAAAGGAAATGAGCTTTAAGAAAAGCTGCTGTGCAGTAGGTTAGTATTGCTTTGCATCACATACAGAGACTTCAAAGAGTAGATAGCATTGAAGTCAAATCTAAAAAAAAAAAAAATTCATATGAACACCATCCATTCCAAACAAAGGAAAAACCTTTAGTACAGCAGGGCAGTGAAGATGGGAAGAGCAGCATGCCCACCTCCAGGAAGGCTGGGGAGGCTGCATCTACATCCCCACTTACTTTCTGGTTTTATAGTGTCCTTGTCACCTTGAAAGGCCATACCACTGGAGAATTAACCTTTCTTCTCAAACTCATATTCTCATGTAAAAATTAAAATAAGGTGGTATTTTTGGAAACCCTCTGAAGAGCAAAAACAATATACATATATCATTTCTTATTTTAAAAAAACACCAAGGGTACCTATTGTGTGTCTTGGCTACACACTGCATTTCTATAAATTGTTGTGACTACCTAGCACTTACCTCAGGTGCACAGTGACTAAGCACTTCTCCTGAATGGCCAATACTGCTTTGGGCCAGAGTGGACTTCTTTAGCCCACAACACATGGGCTTTTGACCTCCTGCTTATGCAAATGTATTTGAAGAGAGGCCCAGTTTAAGAATTATGGAATAGCAAAGATTCTTTGTTTTCACCAAAATTCAAGACAAGTCCCATCAGTTCTCCTTTCTCAAAAATTTGCTCAAAAATATCCTCACTGTCCCCCTCCTACCCCTTAGTGGTGTGACACAGGCCTTGGAGTAGGATGGTGACACTCTTCAGTTGCATCTCTGTGCTAAGAGAGTTAAGATAGGCAGTCTAGTGCATTTGTTGGCTAAGATATTTTAGGTTGGGATTCCTCATGGTGGAAGAAGCATTCACTGTGGACTCTGTCCCCCTTCATTCTCTTCTGAACCATGTGGAAAGCTCACACCTACAACAATACCTATCTGACACTAAGACTGGTATTTTAGGTCAAGTCTGAGGAGTGAAAGGCTACATAAAGCAGTCAGTAGACTAACAGTGAGTAGCAGCTGCATGTAAGAGCTTCTTCAGCCATCTGTGCATCTGCAAAGTTAACACTGCCGGACATAGTAAAGTCAGGTTTTCAAGAGCCAATGTGTATCATTTATCAGGTTCCCAGAGCAAAAGACTGGGGCTCCAGATATATGTAGTGCCTTCTTGCCAGTGTCATGTGGTAAATTCACCAAACTGGTATATTGGCACTGAGCAACAAGATTTGTGCTTCCTTCCCTAAAATCCTTGGTGGCAAGCAACAGTCAGTGAGCAGCAACTGACACAGCTCAGTGCCCAGGCCAGAAGCCTAATCTCCTAACAATGCTATGGCGAAGCAAGGTCACTTTGTCTCCCCAAAAGATGGCTCTGTCTTCAACTGCAAGCCTAATCCATATTTGGTAATTTGGTGAGTGTCATTTACAAGGAAAATCTGTCTGGGTAAAGATTGCCAAGTAAAGGCAGAAAAATTGGACCTTGATGTGACAAAAGTATCATGTTTGTCTTGAGTTTTTTGGCTGCTACAAAGTAACACTACTGAGTAGCTCAGAAACTCAAAAACTGACTCTTCACATTGTTGGAGGCTGGAAAGTTCTAAGTCAAGGTGATAGCCAACTTGGTGTCTGGCAAAAGTCCACACCCTGGTTTATAGATTCTGGCTTCTCAGGGGAGGGAGAGGCTAAGCAACTCTCTATGGCAGTGGTTCTCAACCTTCCTGCGACCCTCTAATATAATGCTTCATGTTGTGGTGACCCCCAACCATAAAATTATTTCATTGCTACTTCATAACTGTAATTTTACTACATTATGAATGTAAATATCTGATCTGTGACTGCTGTAGGGGGGTCATGACCCACAGGTTGAGAACCAAGGCTCTATGGCTTCTATTATAAGGTGTCTAGCTACTCCCATCTGCGAGGGTTACCCCCTCATGATCTACTCAACTTCTTAAGGCACCACCTTATACTCCGGTTTCTCTTCAGATCATGTAGATCCTTCGCCCTTTACTGAATGCCCCAGTGCCAATACTACCTCATTGGAATTAAGGTTTCAGCATATACATTTTGAGGAGACAAAAGCCTCCAGTCTGCAGTTAAGCACCAAAGCTAGTGGGTCAAATATGCCCACTGAATCTGTGCTACCATTTATGCCAACTGTGTGACCTTGGCACTTCGGTTTACTTCTCTGAGGTTCTATACCTAGAAAGGATTATACTGTCAGAAGTAAATGCATGCCTGTAGTCATTTGCAATGTCTGGAAACAGATTGTGCACACAAGTTGGACAATCTAGGTTTTGGACTGTCTCTTTCATCCAGGTTTTGCAAATTTCATGCTGTCCCCTACTGCTTTCACCCTATCAACATCTTACCTATCCCCAAGCCCAGCTCACCCATGGCTGAGTGTCCATTATCCAGAATGATCAAGACCATAAGTGCTTGGAATTTGGGATTTGTGCATGTATCATGAACTATCTTGGGCATGGCACTAAGATTCATTCATGCTTTATACATATTACCTGCAGGCAATTTTATATAGTATCTTAGCATACTTGAGTTTTGGCTACCCCTTGCACATGGGATCAGGTATATTGTTACCTACTTATGTTCTTTCTGTGTCCAAAAGGTCTAGGGTTTTGACACATTTCAGCTTTGGTACTTTTAGATTAAGGGTGTTCAACTCATGTTGCTTTGGGCATGAAGCCTCCTTAGCTGCATCTCCACACCCTCCATAGACTCCCACAGCTTTTCATGCCTGTACATCCTCTACCTTTGTCTTGCATTCTTAGTTAATGTACAAGTCTGGTCCTCTCCTGAAGATACCCAAAGACAAGGATCTCTCACACATTTTATGTCTTTGTCCCTCACCAAGTAGGTTTTACAAAGTTGGATACATTAAAAGTAGTTAAGATGCACATAAATGCACACTCAAAAGAAGATTCCCACCATAGCTTACCTAACCCACCCCACCCACACACTCTGATAAGTTTTCGGTGCTCCAGAAGAAACAGTGAGCCCAAATGTATGACCTTTCACTTACTGTTATATGAGGAGCATCCAAGATGGGGGAGGACCGTAGCCTGTTATCTGAAACAAACTGTGTGAGATGACCTCACTAAAGCTTTGGTACTAAATGCTATGACTTGTTTTAGTTGAGGCTCTTCTGGCCACTCTGCTGGTTGCATTGTAAAGGTAGAGGCATGTGGTTTCTTCAATCCAATCTCCTCCATGGCCGTGGCTTTCTTTATGACTTTGATGAATCACTTAGCCTTGTGGCCCCAGTTGGACCATCTGTACCTTGTGAATACTACTTTGGCACCTATTCCTCTGTGTGGTTAGAATCAGGTAAAGGGATTAGAGTGTGTTGGAATAACCAGGAGCAAGGAAAGTTATTAAATCTCAACAAAGCCATTTTGGCCATTGTGCAAATTTACATTTATTGGGCATTTATTAAGCTGGGAGACTGAGCTTCCCAACACTTTCTTTTACCATTACTT